CAATTTTGCTACGTGTTGCAGTCAGTTGTATGGTTGCAGTCAGCATGGGGGAGCTGTTCACATTGTGAGGGAATGAGTCATATGTGGTCTAGGTGTGTTTAGGCAGAATTAGGGGAGGCGTTGTTCTAAGTTGTTTACTAGTACTTCGGGAAGAAGCTGTTGCCTCAAACATCGTAGAGACAGGACAACAGGTAGGAAATATTTTGGTGTCTCGTCGACCACTTTGTATAGATTGCCAGCGCATGTTCGATTAAGTAACTTGTGTAAAATGTTGTCAAATCTGGGCATACATTTTCAGAGAAAAACATGTTGCTAGAACCTCACGATTACCGGTCACGATAATAACTCATGGCCGGCGAACGTTCAAGCTATCCTCTGACTTGCAGCTGTCAGAATCGAAGTTCAGAACTATTCTAGATCATGGTCGGCACCTTTATGCTGTTGTGGCCAGGCCCACGTTTTAAGTGAATGTTTTAGGGCAAGTTTGTGGGCTAGCTGGTGAGTCATGTCGACCAACACATTAGGACAATCCTGAAAACCACGAATGCCCAAGGGTGGGTCGATCACACAAACACAAATAAGCATGGCGAAGAAAGGCGTTATCCTTGTTTCCAGTCTTCGATTAACTTCTGTAGGTCTCCCTATATTATAAGCTATTATTGGGGATTTTTGCAACCGCTTTAAGTCCCGCGAACCAAACTGATGAGTTACTGACTACTGTACGTTTTTCCGCCATGTTGAATCTTCTAATCGATGTTCGTAATGTCTTCTGTAAATCAGTGTGAGTCATATATAGTTACAAGTTTCTAGACCGTGGTGCTTGTAACTCAATTCTCATTGTCTAGTAGTCTCACTCTTAGTGTTATCAGTACTGGACAAACCCTCTCTGGGGCATAATGACCAGTATGGGAGAAAAACATTAATGTTGCTTTGCTTAGAAAAGAACTCTTTTCTTGTCAACAGTCTAGCCATATATTTAGATGTTTGGTCAATACTTATTGGTTAGAAAATAAATGATTCATGCGTCAGTGATGTTACGTACGGTATGCCTCTACCCAGCCACCAATTTAGAAACATTTTGCATTTTGGGATGTACTCTCGTTGGGTTCTAGGCAATCTGTAAAAACTTCCTATGATTATGGTCTGGTCTAGGTCCATGGGAATATAAAGTACTAATATGTGGACTGTGGCATAAATTTTGAGAGGAAAACATGACACATGTACAAGTCAACGTCGAAAACTGCTACAATATGGGGCCAAGTTTTCATTCTGTGTTCGGTCCATTTGTATGCACTTGCTTACTAACTAGTGTGTACAGTTATACACTACATGATATTGTACATCATAATAGTTAGGTATAGGCCATAATGATCATAATGGTTAGGCATAATTGTTGTATGTCCATGCAAGAACCTCCTTGATCCATTGAAACGATCTAGCTACTAGCATGATATTTTGGAACTTAGTTTGACCTACTGACGTTCCATGGACTATGTTACTATTCACTGAACGTAAATTTTTGTTTTTGTTGTTAACGCTGAATAGTGCTGAGTGAGAACGCCATAATACACCTGAAATGGCTGGAAACGACGAAATTCCTATCGTAGAACATAGTTTATTGTCTGATCACTCGTCAGTGGCCATGTGTGTCTGCCTTTTAGTGAAACACAATGGTCTGTGATCCTTTTAACTATATAATGACCCCACATGCCGATATGAATTGGATAACATAACTACCAGACTTCAGAATGGTTCTGGACTAGTTGTGTAGTGTACATGGGTGGGTGCCTGGCTAAAACAGTTTAGCTTGACAAGTACAAGTTAATACTCTAGTCTTCTAGAACGAATCTTTGAAACACTTTTGAAATAAGACACATGAAGAAGTTAGATTTACCAGTAACCCAGAATATAAAGTGTACTAGTAAATTAGTAATGACAGCTCTGGCTTGTCATGTTCTGGATTGTGGCTTGAGACCTTGGCTGGCAGTTACTTGCCCAGTTCTACATACAGAACCTAAATCCATATTGTTGTATCTGACTGCAAGTAGGCACCTTATTCAGAAGCCATATTTCAGACACAAAACTTAAAAAGCTAATTCAGCTGTGAGAAAGACATTTTGCAAGTACAGATACATGCAAGTAGATATTTTGACACAACAAGGGTATTATATAGAAATTATAATGTCCTTAGATAAAACTTTGACAGGGCTGAAAGTTGGAATTTGAACACGGGTTGATTTTACAAACTGAAAGTTGCAGATAGAATTTTCATGCTTATGTGGCCGTGTAACAAGTATCTGGGTTATTCTGTCTGGTTTGAAAATGTTACATTGAAACAATGTTGTTGTTGTTGTTGTTGTTGTTACAAACCAACATTGTTGTTACAAACCAACCTTCACATTTGCTGCTGATTTTATCAATCAATACAATAGACTGCGGTTGTTTACTGGTTTGCGGACTACGCTATGGGAGTATACCAGCCAGGACCAGCCAGGGATAAATGGATAAATGACCAACCCGGGTAGTCTGTATAAATTATGAAAATTTCGTCATTCTCTGATTGGAGGCGCCCTGTGCCCCGCCTAATAGCTAAGCATGCTCTAGAGAAGCTGCAGCCGTCCCAGATTCACAGAGACTCGTAGGCCTTGGGCATACAACGCCATTTCTTTCTCACATTTCAGACGTTACTCTGACTAAGGTACGTATCTTGTAATACTAATGTTGTAGTATACCACTGAACTGTACAATACTTCACTGCATAGTTGATTTTTGAAGCTTACTAATCTTGTATGTAGCAATTTAGAGCAGACCTGAATGTCCTGTCGAAAAAGTCTAACCGAAGAAAACTACTAACGCTTCCTCCCCGGCTCTGACAAAGCCGGGGAAATTAACCATGCAATTTGAACAATTTAATGGTACGTCTTACTGGAGACATACTTAGTATAACTGTATCTAAGATAAAGCGGACAGTGGAGTGACATGCACAGGACAACTCAATGACCGAGGCCAGGTCTTAGACGTTACGTTACGGTCGACTTACACCAGCGCTAGCCAGTAGATGTACTTGTCTAGCTACTGACGTGACCAAAACTAGATGTCTCTTGTTTTGAAACATCAGTCTGGTCACCAAATTGTAGGGACATGGATTTAGAGTCATGTAATCTAAATCTATCGGGGGCAGCTAAATTCCCCGGGGCTGAAAGGGGTAAGATTGGCGGTCCGACGTGCTACGATAGCCGAGTAGACCCTTGAGTAGGCTCGCTTGCTAGAGCCTATTGAGGATACACAACAATAAGCTTGAAATGTAGTATTGAAGTTTTCATCGGATTGCTCACAATAGAAAGCAGCTTTCTAATTTTGATGACATCTACAAAACTGTTAGTAAATATGGCGAGAGGACAACGGCAGCCGGGAGAGTTAAATTGGCTCTGTCTTGAGACCTTTATGAATTTAAAAAAAATACAGCTCGACGTCGATGGTAACAAGAGGTGTCTGAAAATGAACATTTATTGGGCTCCCCACAAGTATTATACCTTACCTCATCTGTGGTGGTGCACCAGGCATTAGTTACTGTTTTCGGTCAGACCATATAATAGTCATAAAGATGTACAGCCTTGCTCGAGGAAGTCGCGATACCCTGCCCGCCATTTTGCACGACGTTGATGTCGACGTCATAGCGTCAGTGTTTTCAATAACGCGTCTTTCCATGATCTGGTATGAAATCCACCGCAGCAGATCTATGGTTTGAATCCACTGTCCACAATCTTGCTTTCTGGCCTCCTGCAGCTGCATAAAATTGTCATGATGCTCAATGCCTGACATTACATTCCGCTGTAGCCCAACGTATACCAAAAGTAAAGAGAGAGAGAGAGTAAATACGGACGCAGGTGAGGTAGCAGCTGCTTTCTCCACAACCTGGTGTTATGTGTTGGTTTAACCTGACGCTGTGACCCCCAGGGTCCTCTGTGATTGGCTGCAATGGTCGGGTAACCGCATTCGTTACAATGACGTGACGCCAACTGTTGGAGCCAAAGGATCGAGTACTGATATGAATCATATACTCGGAATTCTTGTCACCGGATACCAACATGAGCAACGCTACAGCAGTAGTAATAGTGACATTTGACATCCATAAAATGTAAATATGGAATTAAGATATGGCTCAGTCTGTACATCAAAAACATGTTTTCACAAACCGATTAAGGTAGTTATATTCAATTTGTATTGGACGTGAATGTGGGGAATCATTCGCTTGCTCTTAAAAAGCAGTTGGCTCAAAGGAACAAAAATACGTCAGTAGGTATGTGATAGGGGGACTTAGTCAAACTGAAGTAGACTTTTGTGCTGTTAAGTCAACACTTAGCCTTTTTTGAATGGGCGTTTTTCACCAAGCCACCTGGTTGGTGTTTTCACACAGTATAAACAGGACAAAAAGGAAAGGACTTTAAGCAAATAACGGTGAATGTAATTACATAATATAATGTATACCATGAAGGGCGTTATAAAGACAAACACCAGTACTGCGTTACGTAAACACTGCACAGTGAAGTCAAGGAGGTAATAGATAACGTTACATGATACGGAAATGGAACAATGAGCTGTGAACGCTTGCAGCTGCATAATAAGTACCACATGAACAAAATAATCTATGGACTAACTACTCTACAGCAGACGTTATTTGGTTCCTAGTGCTGGTGCTAATGTCACAAACTTACATAAACCAACATAAAAATTCGAAGGTTAGATAAAGAAATGATATCTACACGACAAAGCAAAAAATATCTAGATATCTACTCAAAAATATGTCACTATTATTTCTTCATAAAAATTATTATTATTAATTCATAAAACTTTTACTGAGCTATGTACACGAGCAAAATATGCGGTGATAGCATTTGTCACGGTACTAGGTAACACTAAATGGACCTCGAAAGGCAAAGTCAGTACCAGTTGTTGCATGTAAGCTGAAGTTCAAACACATAGTATTTTGTGTTTTACAGACAAGCTGCGCCATGCCTGGTTTCCCGGACAAGATCTTCAAAAGCTCGAACCTCCAGAAGTTCCGGTGTCCTATCTGTCAACAAGTTCTGAGGGATCCTGTTCAGACTGAGTGTGGCCATCGGTACTGCTCATCGTGTATTGGAGGCTTCTTGAAGTGAGTACACAACGACACATTTCCTTTGAAATAAAGTTGTACATGTAAGTATAATAGAAATCTTTTTATCATCGGACAAGACATATCTTGGATTATCGGAATTTGTTCCTTGTGCAGCACGAGTGCAGGACCAAGATGTTTGGTCTGCCCTACAGAAGAGTGCCCTTTCCTGGACAAAGATAAGGTACGTACATGTATAGTTCAACGACCATGATTCAAAGCACTTGATTATACATAGTTCATACATAGCTACACATAGACATTGCTTTCGACATGTAAAAACAGTGGTTAATCTGATTATCTGTCGGGATAGTAAGTCAGATGTTGTGATAGTACATTTTGATTTGGTTTTGTGATGTCATTCGTATCAATTGACACTAAAATTCAAAAGATTGACGTCTTTATTTCCTTATTATGCTTATCATTATTATATTGACGCTGAGATTGGGTATGTTGCGTTGTAGATGAACAAGGACAGGTTTGCCCAACGAGAGATTGAAAACATGGAGGTGAAATGCCCTACGACTGGCTGTGATTGGGAGGGAATACTCGGACAGTATGTGAGTTTCAAAGTTTTTTTTCCTATGCTTGCAAAAGTTTATATTTCCTTGCTACATGCGAGTCGAAACAAAAGTACATGTAGCATGACGATGTAGAAACAAAATCTTTAAAAAATTATGATTGAACGTTTATCATTAATTAGCGTTCTTGCTGTATAATGTATCAAGTTTGTATATATTGACAAAGTCAAGTTAGTATGATACTCGTTATAGCAAGGCACTAGTAACTTACCACGTTGACTTTACATTTAGCTCCAAATCCACAAACATCACTGTCCTGCGACGTCGGACGAAAGGTCACCACCTCCCGCTCCCACTCAGGTACAGATTTTTCCAAGCAATGTGGTCAATACCATTTCAGATAGATACACCATCTGATTAAGTTAAAATTAATGTTGTAGGCGAATAATCTGCCTTGACTAAGGTTGAGAAAGTGTACTGATAAAAAATGTTTCCAAACCAGACATTCTTGCAAATTGCAATGCATCGCGTGTCGTTATTGTAGGCGGCAGGGGTCAGCAGACAAGATCAGACGACCCGCCGTCAGACATTTCCGGATGACGCTGACAGCTTCACCCTCACCACAAACCAACATCTGATGGGCCCTTTGAGGGAAGCATGTGCACCGCCACCGCCAACACCTGTCGAAGATCGTGCGTCAAGTGCCTCAAACGACGAGAAGAATCGGGTGGTGCGTCTGCAAGGGCAGGTAGCGAAGATGAGGAAAGAGACGAGGGATCTGGTGAATGCAGGAGAGAGGCTGGACACAAGAATGCATGCCCTGGGAGAAGGTCTTACTAGTTCTCTGCGAGCGACTGAAAGATTGTCAGTCCAGAGGGAGGCGTACGAGCGACAGCACCGTCAAGACCGGGAGATCATCGAGACCCTGGAGAGGAAGGTCAGGTCTCTGGAGAGGATCATCGCTCTGAAGGACGTCGCCCTCGCCGAACAAGACCTCCGGATCCAGACCCTCGAACTGACCAGCTATGACGGCATCCTGACTTGGAAGATTCCGGATTTCACTCGCAAGCGCCACGACGCCATCACGGGGAAGACAGCGAGTTTCTACTCGCCATGTTTCTTCACCAGCCGTACAGGGTACAAGATGGGCGCCCGGATCTACCTGAACGGAGATGGGATGGGGAAAGGCAGTCACATCAGCCTGTTCTTCGTCCTGATGAGGGGGCACTTTGACGGGCTGCTGCGCTGGCCCTTTAAGCAGAAGGTGAACAATATCATATTGCATAATTTGTGAACGTTTTAACATACATTGATGTATTTCAAACCTTTATATCCATTGTAAGTGTGAAATTAGAATACCTGGAATCAATTATCAAAAATATTATTTTCATGCCTAGATTATTCGCCAACCTCAAAAATTATCGCCCCACAACTTTTACTCAGATTCATCCATTTTTTTCTATTCTACAAATGCTATTTTATCCTTGTAACACTTACAGCGTCACTGAACGATGTGGTCCACATTCCATCATTCTTACCAGTATCAATATTAGATCTTTATTTCTCATACTAACTTTCCGCGTGGTACATTTCAGGTGACCTTCATGCTCCTGGACCAAAACAACCGTGAACACGAGATCGACGCGTTCCGCCCTGACCCGACCAGCTCGTCCTTCCAGCGGCCCACCAGTGACATGAACATCGCCAGTGGATGTCCGCTCTTCGTGCCGCTCAGTCAGCTGGAGAGCAGCAGCCATGCCTATGTGAGAGACGACACCATGTACCTCCGTGTTATTGTCGACACAAGTGATTTAAACTGAATGGCCCTGTCGTTCACGGGATGGAAATCACAGAAAAGATCATTGCACTTGATACGTTCAAAATTAGAAACATTTCGTATTTCGAAGATTATCTTTCGGATAGGTTTGGACCATACCATGTTCATTAAGATCATTGTGGACACTTCGGACATTTAGATAGTCATGCTTTTGCAAGTTTTGTAGTTAAAGCTGCAATTGCTGGACATTGTGAAGGACAGAGGCGATTCTAACATATATCAAGCACTGAGAAGAAAAACTAAAACGTCTGGAAAGCTTTAAGTACTTACCGACATGGGTTAATTACAACCTCATTTCTATCAGATATCAGAGTTGGAATCCCGACTGTTGTCGTTCAGCAGACCTGCATGTTGCTGGAATTCAAAGGGCTGTAGTCTTTAGAACCCCGGCGCACTGTTCTGTTCAATGTAGATATAGTTTTGTCCATGACTGTATACACCGCCTCCGGAGCTCCTAGACCTAATTATTCATCCCTTTTGACTTGTTCAGAAAAGAACTTTTCTCGTAAAAACGTAACTAATTGTATTTAATTTGTTTAGCCCATTTTTCACCAAAGGAAGAATGCTGAATCTCCTGTTGATCAAATAGCCATGCCATGTAAATGTACCTAGCATCCTTTTTGAGGACACGACATTAAGATTTTCAGTCAGGTTTGATAGCCCAAACTGGATCTAGCAAGGCAAAGCTAATATGCTTGTGCTTAACGCTATAAGGAAGAAGACCTTATGTATGAATCATATGAATATATGTGAATTCTTTCAAAGGTTTTCTTGAATCATTTCATTGACAATACTTGTGCGAGCTCAAATCAGTTAATTAGATGCACGAATCATAACTCCGACCTCGCCTGACCCAGGGGCCATCCCTGTTGTATGGAACTCACGAGTAGCGGTGGGTGGTGGAGCTCCCTAGCCTGGGGAGCATCTCCCACCCTCCCCCCGGATTGTCATGTCTTCAACATTAAAGTTTACCAAGCCCACTCCGCCTCCTTGTATCAAGGAGCTTCTATCATCTTGCTTGTATCTCCTTGTGTCATATTAAAGCTCTGAAAACCATCGTGTCGGCTGTAGTTGAATGATTTTCCTTCGGAAAAATTAAGTAATTAAGTAAATACGTTGTCACCTTTTGCGACATAGCACAGCAGCATAGTGTAGAGAGTTTCAGATCAAGTAACAAACGTAAGAAGTCAAATTATGGCCACTGCTTTATTAAGCGCGTAACTTGGTACCCCCCTATGCTTGAGTTAGCTTAAGAGTAAATTTAACATTTAAGTCAGCTTGATTGGAAGCTAGAAAATCAGATCCAACTAACTACATGTAAAGAGTCGTAAAGATAAGGTTGAGGAAAGCGATGAGTCCTTGTTTACGTCAGATCACGTGTCTGACGCGCTTTCACCAGCCAGGAATTGACAACTGATAGGGATTTACTAGTATATTTCGTGTCACCTCCCAGTTCTCCCAAGTGTGTGACTGATTCTTTATGAGGACGTAAATATCTCTCAGTTATCAGCAGAACTGGCACATCTTAATCCCTGGACTAGACAAACATACGCCAAACCATGATGCCAAAATGCTCTTTGTCTGAGTGACATATCGGTGACATGGGCGGCCTGCCTAATCCGAAGCGAAGACAACATCCGTCGGCAATTTTCATTCCTCCCAGATCAGTCCACTTCCTGTGTTGGTCTTCGGTATGTATGGGGTAAAAGGGTGCACTGAAACCCCATAGATCGACAGGTAATTGGTGATGGGTGATTAAGGAATAAAACTACACACAAGGACTGTACAAGAACGAATCCGTTCTGACGATGGGCAGGTGACTGCAGTTCTGGTCATAGTCCATTTTCAGCCCCGTCAGTCTATAGCCTTAATTTGAATCCACCGTGGATAGGTTGTAAATAGCAAATTGTTTTTGTCAGTCATACGTCATGGACCTAAAAGTTGTTTGTCTACGTACCTCCTTGGTTACGCCCAGGTCAGGACCCAGACACCTAGAATGCGTGGGAGGGTGAGGCTAAAAATAGCTAACTGATTATATGTTTACCCGGTATACCCACCAACAGCTACCACAGGGGGACCAGAAATATTTCCTCGCACTGCGAAACAAAGGCACGGTGGGATTTTTTCAGTATACCTGAGCAGCAGCATTACCAGAATCAACGTACGAAGGTAAGAATCATAGTTGGTTATATTAGCCAGCTGTGCAGACCCAGATTGTCCTGTAGATATCTTAGTGTCATGGTGGCTGTAGCCATGGCCTACGGCTGGGTACCTAAAATGTATATGTAGGCAATCTACTGAAAGCGAACAAAACTGTCGCCGGGGTATGCTCTCTAAGTATATTTTGTTCGTTATGATATATATATATATATATGCTGATATATTACTGATGATTTTTCGTCCCATTATACTCCCTCGACTGGAGTTGTTTTTCCGATTCACTGAGGTGTGTCTATTTTTCTCTCAGACATTGTCAGACCTGACCTTTGCTGCCCCTCAGCTTGTTGTTGTGTAAGGCTATTCATACCTCGTTAACTTGACACCTTGTTTTTCCCATTTATACCTCGTCGTACGTGATGTTTTTATGTACTAGTATATTCTATTTGTAGCTCAAATGTTATTTTCTGCTACCAACTTGCAATTGTATTGAGATGACCTGCAGTTAACGAAATTATTCCTTTAATAATTGTATTTGGCTAATTCTGTTAACTGTAAATCATGCCATATGTGTACTGTAATACTTTGTTTTTTACATGCAGTGGGTAGCTCTTTTGCTCTGATTATTTTAGATCTGACGTTGCCTCCTAAGAATGGCAAGCAACCATTAAGTTAGAAACATCAAAACTAGTTCTATCAAAACTGTTTTCTTCTTTCACCCAAGAAGGGGGAGGGCCCCGGGTCTCGATTCCGTAGCCGTTACAAATGTGACTGGTTGATACATTTCATCTCCATTTTCAACAACGGTTTAAGACTTGGGAGCTTTGACTTTGTTATCCTTGGAGCATTTGGTTATAATATTACATTGATATCAGTAAACAGTGTTTCAGGTATGAACGAAAAGTTTTATTTTTTCATTATACAATATATCATTATTTTATATTTTTATTATGTCTAATGCCAGGACTGTTGCATGATACTTCACTGCATCTGTAAACTCCATAGAGGTTGAATTTAAAAAAAACCCGGAGGTCAGAATCAATGTTGAAAGACGGTAGTCGGCCTTTTATTCTAAGAACATCTTCATTCACACAATGTACACATTTATTGTGCAAGGAAGTCGTGCAACGTAACAAAGGTCTTCAAAACGTGCGTCGACTTGGACCAAAAACATACCCGGAGGTTCACCGCCATGTGAACAGTAGTTCGACGGGGGCAGGGATAACTTGTCCCGCGGAGCTCCGCGCGTTGAGCCCGTGTTACTGGATTTGTTCCGTCCTTCACTGAATTTAATTTCCTGTTCCGATTTTGAGCACCCTGTAATAACCTTAGTGGTGGATTAATAAATTTTGTGATGAATTAATTTTTACAACCTCCATGAAGAAAAGTAATTACAAGAAGCCGATACACCAGTATCCCTGGGATATCACTGACACAGCTGTCTCTTCCACAAGAAAGTAAGAAACTGAGCAAACTCAATGAATTTCAAATTTTACATTGACAGCATTATTTTAGTTCTGGCATACATTCCGAAAATAAGCACCCCAAAGCGTTCTTACCCTAAGGGCAATTGCAATGCATGGCCCTCTGCTATGTTGAACAGACAATATTAATATGCATCGACACACCCACTAGCTGACCAATCAGAGGGCATTATTTGAACACACCTCCGCTCTGCCCCTGCTTGACAATGCGCCATGTTTTGCCGATCCCAGATTAGATTCGGACTATCAAAGCAGCACAGGTGCCTTTAAGTAGGTAAGTGTCAGGTAAGATGCCATTTCTGCTAATTGCCCGTGTTTCTAGTACACTACTAGACCCTAGTCCTGTCCAGATATACCGGTCAGGAGTGCATATATGCCAAACATGCACTAGTAGTATGCAGATGCTGTATACCGGTGTTGGATCGATATAGCTAGCGCCATTTTGTGTTAGGTGATGACCATTGTATGCAAGATGAGCGTATTTGGTGTGGATATATTGGCAGTTGGGGAAGGTGACTGTGGCAAGTCGATCATACTCTCCTTGCAGAGGCTTGCCGGGCTTATTTTTGGCGTGTTTTTAGTTGTTGTTGTTTTTTAATCGGGCTCTCTTTTTTTTTACTGGTATCTTTTTTTACGCCAGCCCAATGGCCAATGATAACTGTCTGGCAAATGGATACCGCCTAGCCAGTTTGACACTATTTGCGCAGTCACCCGAAAGATATGCTTGGAAATGAATAAACTATAATACATAAATATACAAACTGTGGTGGGAACAGATTAGGGAAAAAATACCCAAACCGGCTCCTCGTGTGATGTTTTGAATATGTTAGTTTCTTGGTGACGTTCTGTTTTGTGATTGCTGCCATTTTCAAATTTTTATTCATGCACTGACCTCTGCAGATCAGGGAAAATGACAAGCAGACTCTGTGGGGCAAGGACCACCTCAGTATCCACTGACTTCCTGTAATCACTGGCCGCCCCACGCTGAGATTAAATATTAAAACTTCAGTCGAAGCTAGGGTCTGTTATGACGGCTGGACTGGGTGGAACACGCACTCGTTCACACACACACACACACGCAACGCTTCAGGAATTTCCCATTGAAGCATGCTACACCACATGCCTGGAGACAAAAAGGATTCTCCCATCCAGCATTTTGTTACTGTTAAAACGGGATAGATATTATATATTCGACTAAGAAGTAAGTAATTGAAACACATGCTCGAGGGATTGTCGTTAGTGTAGCATGAATTAGTATAGTTTAGTGTAACATAAATTAGTATAGTTTCCCACGTTATTCAAGAATACAAACGAACGTTTATCGGATTATTCCAGTCCATTAAAGTACAGTAATCATTCCCTCACATGTGTGCACACCCCTTTGTTGATTTACCTATAAAGGGTACCGGTATTCATCGTTATTTGGACTTCTATAATTACTAGGCAGTTAGGAACCCTTGGACGGTACCCTTGGACTGGGAGCCAGACTAGCATCGGACCGGTAGCCGTTTCCCTTGAGGTAGCCAAAATCCTGAGTGTCAGCCTTGTTAGCTTTCGTCCCCAAGATCCGCTACCCGCCAACAATGCAAGGTGAATTTAACAAGAGTTCTGCTGATATGAGACGATAATCGAGATTTCTTTTATCTTGCATGTCAGTCAGTTCACGGCATGTTGATAAGAGTGTTTGTCTAAAATATTTGGTTTGTGGGGCGAGTTACGCCGTTCAGCTTGTTAGCTTTCGTCCGCTCCCGAAGATCCGCTCCCCGTTGGCGCCTGTCATGTGAAATGCTAATGTATTTTGTCAAATGAAACATAGGACATTTCCATGACAAGAATCACTCTTTTTCTGTTGTTTTTGAACTCACATGGGCAGATGAACAAAATTGCTGTCAACATCTCACTTAAACAGCTGTAGGGGTGAAAGGTTTGGTAACAGAGCTTATCGCCTAAATATAAACTTTCCACTTATAAAAAGCACGTTAAACCAATCCTTCTATCACCATTGTTAAACAAATCCATACCCACCCTACAGGGTTGGCTTCTTATTGTAGTAAATCCTACCAACCCTTACTGACACGGCGAGTGAATACTCTCTTCAGAAATCAAAATGCTACTAGTATCTGTTGTCTCTCGCCTGACTTGATGACCAAAACTCCGGCGAGCTACTGGGCTGTAAAGGTCAAGAGTATATGGTCCAAAGCACAGTCCATTTTAAGAAATCATTTAAACAAGGAGCAAGGGTAGAAGAGACAAAGTGATTATCAGACTCGTAAGGCGGTGGGCGGAGCGGGCGGCCGCCGTCTGGCTCCCACGGTATATCTCTCCGAGCCTG